CAGAATAAGTGATGCTGTATGATCACAGCAGCAATATCATCTAGACTCCTGCTATGTGTGTCACTATACGTGGACATGTGGCGCTATGGATAACGCGTATGCCTGCGTAGCAGAAGATTGCAGGTTCAAATCCAGCCGGGGTCGGCATCCTTTTGTGTCGGATAAATCTATAGCATTTTCATTCTTATGGCATCTCTACAAACCCGTACAATTCATTGCGTTCGATATAAAGCCTGATCACCCATTTTTGAGAAGCGCCATGCACATGACTTCCACTTGTAACTTAGCAACACTGTTAAGCTTGCTTAGGCGGTGGGCATTGCCTTCAATAATCTCTAATATGCCAGCCACCATTAAAGCAACAGTCTCAGAAGGGTTCTAAAAATTTGATGCTAATGGTGTGGGATGATGCGCTAGCCCTAGTCAAGCACACATGAATAGAAGCTCACCAAAAACTCACCCTCAAATGCCGCTAGAACGGAGAGAATCACTGGCGACGGAGGAGGTGCGTACAGGCCCTGGACGCGCCTACTCTTTGCCGTCGTGGACAGTGCAAGAATGGATGCGCAGGTACTTGCGGTCGTTTCGGGAGACCGGCCTAATTTAGGTCTATCCTTCAAAGCAACTAACGTGGTGCCTTGCGGCTACCTAGCCTTGCGGGAGCAATGTGGTTCTTCTCGGGTTGCTCGTAGTCACCTCACGACGCATTGCGCCCCAATGGCAATTCCTGGCAAATAGCAAGGCACTGCTGGCTACTTGTCAGCAGTCGCAATTGGGGCGCATCTACGCGGACAGCTCGTCCACCCCATCCTTCTCCTCATTTCTGAGCTGAGGAGGTGGAGCCCCCGTTTTGAGGCCTCGTCGGCCTTTTTTCCCCTTTTTCATCATCATCAGTCAACTTCCTACCTATAACTTCGTAACCGGCCGCATAACTCCATGAATTCGTTCTGAGACTGTTGCTGTAATCGTCATAAGAGTAGTCCACTTCCACTGTCCCAGTTTCACGAAAAGATTTTTTCAAACCTTATTTATAGAGGGCAGGGAGAGGGGTATTCGGTGCCCTGATTACGAACATTGCCTCCATTTTTGCACTAGCGCTAAAAATGAATGCCATAGTCGTAAAAGGGATACCAAATAACTGCCTTAGACATGGTTCCAACAGGAAAAAATCGCTAGAGTTTTTTGAGCAGCAATAGTTGAATTGTGTCATATAAGATATGAGAACGATGAGATTCATAAATCGTATCGACCCGTCCTGCTTTCCGCTTATAGAATCTCGATCTGATAAAACGCAGAAACCTGATGTCAGTGTGCAATACGCCCCCGCAAAATTAAATCTGCCGTTGTAATGAATCACATTTGAGGTAGAGTAAGCTTTTGCCTTGTGTAAACTGTGCATTGAGAGGATTTGCGCCTCAACATTCAAGAACTCTCCAGTGTCAACCGCTCGTTGGAATTCACCAACGAGGAGGCCGTGTATCTAACGTGTATTGGTGATGGTGACATGGGAGGGGGTCGTATATGATATTCCGAGAGGTGTTAGAGTTCAGAGATGAAAGACGGGTGTTGGGGATTCGTGTGGCAATGGGAAAGAGGGGGTCGTTTGTGAGGAGTTTCTCGTGTATTCCCCTTCCGCCACCTTTCTCCTTCGCTTGACGGTGGTTTTGGAGGGTAAAATAGGCAGAGTCGGACTGCGTGTCGATTGGTCCTAGAATCAAATGCTATAGAAGCAGCCGTGGAGATGAGTTGTGGTTTGTAGGAGCAGTCGTATCAGGAGGTTACTCCCGCCCACATGTGGTGGAAGAGGTGTATCGAAGCACTTCTGGGAAGGGGAGGCGTTGAACTTTTCGAGGTTTCAACGTAGCGGTTGACCCTGATTGAGAAGCGTCATCACGATGACCAGGAAGAACAAGCTTGCTGTTACCAGCTGAAAGCAGATTGAAATGCTCGC